TCGATTTTTAAAATAATCGTTAGTTGCAGCCCTAGTCTCTATACTCCATTTAACGATAAATCAACTACTAAATTAGTTGATTATTTTAATAATCGATTAATCCGAATAATTTTGAGTATGTATCAATTCCAATGTTATTGCCAGTTATCTTTTTCTCTCAATGATATTGTTCTCATTACAATTCACTATTTAATTATGTTGGTTAAAGTTCTTCTTTGAGTGGCTAGGCTAGGTTAGCAATGGTCAAAAGGTTTTTGAAACGGGTTGTTTTCCATAAACCAGTAAAATTTCTCCTTTGTTTCTAGAAGCAGTCCCAAATGAAAAGCATAAAGAACATTTTGCTCATAAGCTTCCCTTAGTGAATGAAAAGGTTACAGAAAACTGATCCATAGTCATTTAGACCCGTGTCTCATTAAATGTAAACCTGTCGGGGAAAAGGATTCATCTGGGTTCAGCTGGAGACTGAAGAGAGCCGAGTCACATGTTTGAACTGTTTTCATCAGTTAATGTAAACATTTTCTGTTTGAGGATAAAATGACAAACTGCAGTTAAACAGCCAAGCTGACGGTCAGGAGTCCAACCTTCCACCCTGTTGGTAAACTTACGGGACGGGGATGCTGATGACCACGTCGTTCAGCTCCAGGTTCTCCTCCTGCAGCTCGTACTCGATGTTGACGTCGCAGCCAGAGCCGCTCTCTGAAGGCCAGCAGTTTACTGCGAGACAGAATCTGGGTGAGAACAGCGGTGCATAGCTCTGGGCTACGCTAACTATGCTAACCCCAGAGGATTGCTAAAGAACTGCCAACAGGAGTTATATCACACCACTGATCTCTATTCACTGGATTGCTGACATGCCGGAAAAAACTGAAGTCACCTGGCGCCATCTTGGTACTCCCAATTAAAGGCATAAAGAACAACCTTTTTTCCAAGTGGTATAAGTGGTGCTTACGTGCTCACCCTGTTAGCTAACTTTCTGCGCATGCACACTTTCAGGCGTATCTCTGTGTATGAGCTACGGTTTCAGACAGTCACTGAAGCTCACCTTTCTCACCGCGGTTCTTTGAAAATGGCCGAGGGTCATAAAAGAAAAGTGTCTATGAAGCGTATGGGAAGAAAAGGCCGGCCTCAAAAGACGCAGATGTATCCCAGAATGCTTTTGCGTGGAGAGCTCTCCTCGCAAAGCATTATGGGATTTGCTGTCACAGTGGCCCACTGTCGCCACAGGCTGTCGTTACCCAACAACAGCAACTAATGACAAAGATGGGCAGGCACCACATGGTGGGGGAGGAGTTATGTGACCAATGGAGCAAAAAGTAGCGATAATCTGTCTGAATGGTCAGTAAACTGAGTTCATAATAAAGTCTACTATATAATCCCCGCTGTAGGTGGACACAGTTAGCTTGTATGAGCTAAGAGCACAGCACATTTTAAAGAGGGCGTTCACGAGGGGAAATGTGCTCATGCATGTTACAAACAATACATGTTACATGTACATCAGCAATTCAGCACTTTCGGCACATCGTCAGATGGTGTGTGTAATATTCTTAATATCTGACTACAGCATTATTATGCTCCATTAACACATTAATTTTGTTGCGATGGATTTGTAATATAATATGTTATACATCATGATTTATAGCAGGGTTCCTACAGCATAAAGCAAGTTAAATTCAAGACGTTTTAATACTTTTTAATGCCACTTGAGATGAAAATTTAAGACCAAATTCACAAGAAACACAAGAAAAACCCGCTTGCGACAACTTTACCCA